ATAGTCAATCTTGAGCACTTCTTGACCTCTTGTCACTGCTAATAGTGCGAGGAAACAAACTGAACAGGTCCCACACAGATCTCAGTGTCCCGGCCGACTCGCCTTTTTAATCTTAAAGAGCATGCAAGGTGGCGCTTTTTAAAAATGCAAAAGATATGTCATGCCTGCTGGTGTTATTTGATAAGTATTGATATTGTTTTAATTACAAACTTATAAGGTGTCCATGGCCCTGTGTAATTACATATTTAAGTGCTGAATAATAGTAATTGAATATATTAATTATTTGTTATGTTTTTAGTTTTAGTAAGCAGTAATAAAGTACTGCTCAGAAGATAATTATAACACATATACTTAATATTTCTAGAATTTAAGGTATAGTCCACACCTTAAAGGGCACCTATTTTGCAAAACTCACTTTTATAAGGCGTTAAAACTACAATTTAGGCTACAATTTGTAAGCACAACCAGCTAATAATGGTAAATATTTATTACTTCTATTTTTATAATCACACTCTTTAAAAAACAGTCTGCAGAAACATTTTGATTGACATTCTTCTTTTGTGCGTGTCATCAAAGGGGGAAAGCCCCGCCCACTAGTGACAATCTCTCCCTCATTAGCATATAATGTTAATCTTAATGTTAATGTTATCCTATAGCACATGTGTTTGGACTGTAGGGGAAAGCTGAAGACCTGGAGAAAACCCACACCAACACAAGGAGAACATGCAAACTCCACACATATACTGGCCCAGCCGGGACTCGAACTAGTGACCTTCTTGCTGTGAGGCCACAGTGCTAACCACTTAGCCACTGTGCCACCCATTGATGAAAAATAACGCAAAGAGCACGACTTCACATGTCACTTATTTAATAACCGCTCATGCTGCGAAGACTTTTGCGAATGTGCATGGCATCTATACATGGTTATTGAAGTACAATTAATGTTTAATGCAGCACAGGTGGGATCCGTCTCGGTGTGTGGGTGCAAACAAACAGAACAGTACCGCAGATGTGATCCATAAATTCCATCTATCTCTCCATTATATTCAGGCCAAGGCCACACATACGGTAAAGTCATGACCGCTTCTGTTTACACACGTCGAGAGCCTGAAGACTGAGATTTAACCAGCTTTGAATATGCCTATGTGTATTTACGGACTGCTAGAATAATCCCGATACCAAACGTTGAAGAGATCGCAGTTATAGCTGAATGCGCTGGATGGTGTGATCAGTCTATTTGGTTTGCAAAGTGAACATGTTTTATTTCCTTATGAATTAATGTTACATTAAATTGTGCAGGGATGTAAATTTTAAAGATTTCTGCATTATTTTCTGACTTTATAGGGCAAGCCCGGTAAATATATATATATATATATATATATATATATATATATATATATATATATATATATATATATATATATATATATATATATATATATATATATATATATATATATATATATATATATATATATATATATATATATATATATATATATATATATATATATATATATATATATATATATATAT